TTTGAAGAACTCATGCACTTACTGCTCATTTTTTCTTTCCTGTTTGAATCTGTAAATGACAATGGAATAATCTTTGAATTGCATTGTGGGGAATCTGGGTCAGTGCAAAAGGCACTTGCATGACAAAGCATGCTGGGAAATTTACAACGCCTTTAGACCTACGTCTAAATGTCTTAATTTGTTCATTGTGCACACTGTCTCTCCTAGGCTCCTTCACTGGCAGTGTGAGCACTGAGGCCAGCTCCACCACTGTAGCCACAGACTCTGTCTGCGACCAGGTGTCGCCCACTCTTCCCCGTGCCACAAAGCATCGAGTTTCTGGAAAACTCCGCCGCTCAGCCAGCGCTATAAGCAAGTCATCTGCCTGAAATCATCGTCTAACCCAGGATCACCGCCTTTACTCTAAAGTTGAATAACCTCACTGAGCTGCGACTGCAAGGCATTTTGTGTGCTATCAATGTTTTATTATGTGTCATATAAAACTGGAACTTCATGCTAATTTTTAACTTATGTGTCAGTCACTGGATTTAGGGGTAATTTGGGATGCCTGGGATCATTTGCCTGAGATCATTTGACTGAGAGGTCTTAAACCAAACATTCTATTGTTTTCTAACTGATGCAGTAAATAGGATCATTTAGACTGTTTTTACGCTCACACACTTAATCCATCCAATTCCCAGTCGGAGCACTGAATGACACAGGTAAATGGTGAAGTATGGGACTGCACAAGACATTGGTGTCCATTTAAAATGTGTCTTTTATACCTCTCTTTGCACTTGCCACGGCCCTTCAATGTTAAACTCACTTGTTTGTATGTTCGGACATTGTAGAAGTCTTTTTACTGTTCATTTGTGTCCGCTGGACCATGTTTACGGTCCATCCTACTAAAAGAAGTGACTTATGGGGACTTCCTCCCCAGATCCATTTGTACACTGGCACACAACCACACAGACTGCCTGGCTCAAGTGTGCTGCCAGGGCATTTTTAATTGTTTTGAACCCAGAGTGGACAATCAATGATGTCTTTCTAACTTAACCTGAGCTGAAATTTGTTAGGGGCTTTTTATCACTAATTTTCTATTTTAAACGAATTCCGATGGATTCTGTCATGATTTGATTTATGCAACTCTGCTGGAATGAGAAAGTCTGCGTTTGTAATTGTTTTGTGATGTTGTTAACATAGACTCATGTCCGGTAATTGGATAAGTTCCTTTCGTCTCTTTCCTCTGCTATCAGTTTCGTCCTGTGGAGCGGAGGCATTGACATTCCAACATTTCTGCACTAACTGTCATTGATTACCTATCACTGAATGTTTGATTACTGTTTGCTACAATGTACTTTAATTATTTTGTTTGTCTAAGATGTATGTATAGAGGTATTTGAATTGTTGTTTTGTTATTATGGTTTTCTATGTTATTATTAAGATTCATCCCAATGCCTCAGGTGACTATGAATCCATGCACTGGAGTGAATATGTGTGCGTCATCTCCCCAATGACTTTGACTGTGCCTCTGTCCCATCTGCCCCTTTCTGCCTCTGTTAGTAACCATGAACACCACTTTCATTCTTTGTCCCTTCATTTTTCTCTCACTCTGCCCTCTGATTCTGCCATTCTCACCAAAACAACAACAACAACAGATGGGTGAAACTGCGGGCCTCTGATCTTTATAAATACTTGCGCTCTGCCTAGTTTTAAATTGAAAGGATAGACACCAGCTCCTCCTCTTTCCCATAATCACCTCCCCATGTTGCCTCCGTACAGGGGCCTCAGGAGGGCTACACCAGGGACTGCTTTTTAGGTGGCATGCCAGCGCTCAACTATCACAACCTTCCTAGCAACAGCCACGGCTCCTCCAACCTGCCCCGCTCCAGCTCCTGTCGCCATGGCAGCCAGGTGTTCCAGGCAAACACACACACATTACTAGCACCTTTCTGAGGGCTCCACCCATAGCTGCAACACTAGCCCCATCTGTTGCCGCGCTACTATGCCTTATTTTCCCCAAGCTCTCCTTCCTCCTATCGCTTTCACCCCGCACTCATACGCCGCCTGCTACCTGTATGTGCTCCCCACGACAGAAAACTAAGGGGATTATGAACAGTGATGGGTGATGAGAGCAAAATCCTCTTTTTGTGCTTTGTGGTTTTGAAGAATGTATAAAAGCATTGGTCTGGATGGTATCAAGGGGTTTTAATTTTCCCAAAGCCTCTAGAAGAAACCACCCAGGATGCTGATGTAAAGATTGTAGGTTATAGATCATATTTGTGAAGGGGTCTGTAACCCCCTACGGTGGATTAGTTGCTGGAGTTGTTTAGTCTGGACCAATATTTCTTATTATGTGAAGAGAATGATCTAGTCTTAGCCCTTGTATGATTTTGTCTTTTTACTAAAATTCTTGTACATTGTGTCAAATGTGTGGGCGCTGTCCCCTTTCCAAAAATATATGAATGCCTGTACTATATTCTTTGTAAGTAAAAAAAAAAAAAAAAAAAAAAGCTTGAAGATCCCACCATTACTGCTCAACATATCAGACTGTTTTTAATGCTATCTTTATTGGAAATGTGAAAGTTGAAACATTTCATTAAATCAAATTGAAATTCTATTTCTGTTATCTGTCGTTTCTTCTTTGACGTCCTCATCAGCTAATTGTGTAACCTCAGAGCTTGTGGATTACTGTGGCTTGGTTTTATATGGAAAAACATGGTGGGTGCTCTTTCCACGGGGCTTCCTGACCCTGGTCTGGCCTTGTAGCTAGCAGCAGCAGGGGTAACCTGACCCTCCTCCCATCTGTCACCCCTGCTGCTCAGTTCAGCTTAGAGGAGACAGGCATAATGGAAGCCCACCAGGAGGTACAGGTGCAATGGTCGCTTCACCTCTGGGTTGAACTGCCTCACCTTTCCACATAAAGACACAAGGACAGCACTTGAATGTAATTGGAGCCTAAAAAGTGTGAGAAAGAGCAGTCGTGTTGCCTCATTTTTACTCACTGCTGCTGAACTCTGAGATGTTTCTTTCTCCAGAGCAACAGGGGCTGCATGTTCAAGCTCCCTTGACTCCCAAAGTGGATATGTCACAATTTTCTCACTTCAAATATCTCACTATATGCAGCCTATAGTTGCTGGGGCTCTTGTCTGAAATATACTGTTATTCTTGGCACATCCAGAGTTTATAATGAGCTTTTTCAACTGTAAAGAAAAGTAAAAACTTTCATCACTTAAGATTGAATACTGTAGGATTACAAATTTTAGCCTGGCTCTAAGCTCCTGTCCCTGATGGCTGAGATTATGAGCCGCTGCTAAGCAGAGAGCTAAAGTGAGCTGACCTAATGCTTTCATAACGTAAAAGTCGGATAGAAATCCTGGAGTGTCTTAAATCAGCGGTGGGCAACCAAAATGAAGCTCCAAAAGCAGGCAGATGTTTTACTGCTTTAAAGGTGAGCGCAGATCCGTAACCTCGCTGTCCCTTGTCATGTCCCGACATGGCACCTGAGTTAATTTATGAGAAGGCTCTAAGTGCTGCTGTGTGCGCATTGACTTGATACAGCTATGATTTAAGTCTGCAAAGAGCCTCTGTTTTAATTAGAAGATTTTAGATAAGCATAAGATTGAAAAGCAGAACTGTACAGATTTAAAATGATAAATACACCAATGAAAATGTCCGAACAGACCAATGACATTATGTCTTTATAATATGGCACATGTGTCCCACCAGCCCATGCAAGAGCCAAACTTTGTTTCAATGAGCCCAGGCCTGTACTTGTGCAGGCCCAGTGTGTATTTGCAGTCTGGCCTATGTTTTATATAGATTCCACAATTAAATAAATTACTGAGCTAATTTGTTGGTATCGGATAGACTTCTAATAGGCTTATTAATTAAAATTGTAGCCTTTATAGGAAGGCTAAAATAGGATTTGTCGATTTTAAATTGGTTAAAAAATGTGTCTAATTAAAGGTAATGTCAGATCAGTAGACCGATAACCTGCAGAAAGTTTTAGGCCTAAAAAGATCCAATCAGTAGCTCTTAAACTGCGTGTTTCAGGCATCACAGATTCACTCAGAACGGCTTCTTCTTTTGAAAATATTTTTTTCTTTATTGATAGACAACAACGATATGCACATACAATCAAAGCGCTATAAAAGCCAACATTTAGGAAAATAACTTGTCCTTAAAAAAGATTGCATCTAAGGTAAGAGCTTTACGTTTTTTCTTTTTTTACAAGAGCTGTGAAGATTGAAGATTTAAACCCGACCCACGACATTAAGCACAACTCAGAAGTTTGACAGAAAAGAAACAAAAACAAAACAACAAAACAAAAAACATTTTGGCTACACGACATGTAAACTGCCATGACGATTCACAGAAATCACAACAAACACAACAATAAGTTACATAAAATAATTAGAATAAATAAATAAATAAACTTATGATGAAAAATATTGCAACAATCTTCCATAATAAAATATGTGCCAGCATTCAAATGAGACAATCTAAGTAGACTTGTTTAAGGCAGTTGTACAGCGGGATTTGGGTGTGGATGGAGACTATGTCACTAGGCATTGATACTAAAGGCATTTGTGGTTCTACTTAGCAGGGAATGTTCAGTCGCGCTTCTCCACCACACAAAGTTGATAAGTTCTGTCCTTCACAAACAAGCGTAAAGCTACACGAGAGCAATCACGGTCGGTGAATTCAAAGGCTTTGATGGGGAAAAGGTTTCTGAGATTTTAAGACATTTCTTAGGTCTAGAAGCTATCATTTAGCACACGTGCTGTTCTAGAAAAATACCCTTCAACAGTCAAACTAACGCTTTGTATTTTAACTTGATAAACTAATTTGAGAATGAAAATCTCAAAATAGGCCTATATGTAATTAAAGATAGAGAGAAGCATTCGACAATCACTGATTGGCATGAAAAAGAAACCGACTAGGCTACATCATCCGCCCTGCCCTTCATTGGCCTAAAGTTATGGCAGTGAGCATCAGAGACTCTCTCATCCCACTTTTGTTTGCTTTTTCTGCTTCAAAGGCACGAGTTGAGTGTTGTCTCTAGCAGGCTGGGCGCACCGGCATCTGCAGCAGAATGACCTGCCTGTTCTCCGAGGGGTGGCACTTGTTTATGTGCCTGGTGAGCCCCGGTGAGCTGTAGAGCGTGGCGGGGCAGTATTTGCACGGGTAAATCTGGGATGAGTGCATGAGGCGCAGGTGTCTCTCCTGGCCAGCCCTGCTGGTGAAACTCTCCCCACACACGGGACACAGTAGGCAGTCCACTGGGCTCAGGTTGAGGGGGCTTTGGTTTGACGCTTCCTCTGAGGAGGAAGAGGAGGGCATGGGGGGCTGCTCTGCTGCTCGCTCGGCCGTCTGAAACTCCTCCAGCACTTTCTTCTGCAAGGCCTGGTGTCCCATGATGTGTTTTCTTAGGTATGCCTGGCGCTTGAACCTCTTCCCGCAGAACTGACAGTCGTACGCGCCGTCTTCAGACCCGGACTCAGACAGACCTGGACTGGGGGTGTCTCTGTCACTTGTGTCTTTGGCTTCATCAGACTTGACACCCAGGGGAGGCGTTTTGGCCATGTCAGATTTGATGCCCTGCGTAGGGGGCAGTGCAGATGCCCCTGTGGCAGCGGCCCGTGGTTTATGCCAGCGGCGATGAGAGGCGAGATTGGCCGGACAGCTAAACATCTTATCACACTCCGGACAGCGGTACTCGACTCGGACAATGCGAGAGCATTTGTGCTGTGCGAGAGAGAATGGATCCGCGTACGCTTCTTTGCAAAGCTGACACACAAACTCCCCTAAAGGTTTGTTTCCCGCGACGGACAGTGGTCGTGGCTTCATCTCCACGGGGCCCTCTTTGATTTTGAGCCCCAGCACCGGAGAGGTCGTTACCTCGTCCTCGAAGTTGAGCTTTCTGATGGCTTTGGGTTTTTTGGCGGCGGGTTTGGGTTTGCGCTCCGTGGCCTCAGCGGGTCTTTTGGTGGCTAGGCGGTTGTTTGGTGCTGGGAGGCTGCTACTGCTGCTGCTGGTGGAGGAGGAGGTGGTGCCGCTGCGGCTGCTGTTGCTGGTGCCGATTTTTAGATCAACCGGAGCGTAGAGAAGGTGGTCCAGGCCGGAGAGGGATGCAGGTGTAGGGAATGACTCTGCAGAAATCGGCGAGCCTAGATTGAAACTTCGCTCAAAATATCCCCGGTCGTGCTCCTTGCTGATTGGCCGGGTGGGGCTGTACAGGGCTTGGCACGCCGTCTCCGGGTTGCCGAATTGCGCCGGTTTCTCCAGTCTTGGCACGGGCGCATCAGCTGCTGTGAAATCCGCGCGGTCTGGACTGGACGCCACGGACAGCGGCGGGGAGGGGTCAGCCTGACTCGGCAAGGCAGCTGGGGTGGGAGGCTCCTGGAGGTCATCCTCGTCTGGGCGCGTCCTGTAGGAAACGTGTGCCGATTTCTTGTTTCTTTTTACCAGGAAGCCTTTGGGCATGTTGGCGAGTCGCTGCTGAAAGGCACTTCGGGGAGGTGAATAATGTCTCGAGGATCCAGGTTGGTTCAAAATATGGCAACACAGAAGCGTGTGGGACTTAATCTCCCCTGTATTTCGATCCTTCTGTTCCTGAAATGTTTTCGTCTCTAAGGCATAGCTCCACTCTTTTTATGCCGGAATGATGCTATTGTTCTGCCCCCCCTCTTCGCCGCATCCCCAACCAATCGGATGAAACCAAGATCCCAGTGGATTTGATTGTGGGAGGGCTCAGAGCCGGGCTTTGGTGGATTTCGTTGGAGGATGTGCAGATAGCTTAGCAGATGCACTGGCGGTTTATTACATTAATGTGTGCGCCTAGCCCCTCCCCGTCAGAGGCACACGCCGGGACCCTCCTTTTTACGGTCTGATGGGCCCCTATACAAATGCACACGTGCCACGGCTTTGTGGCTCTCTTCTGGGGGCCCCGTTGCTGCCAAAAGAAAATGTGTGTCACTACTACAACTTTAGAATTAGAAGATAGTTCATATTTTCTATTAGATATTTATTTATTTGAGTGTGAATATTTTTAGCAGCACAATGTACTGGGTCACACCTCTTCATAACAATTTGTGCATTGTGCTTGTTTTTGTCTTTCTTTTTTCATTTTAGTGATTATAGATGCCTCCTTCGTTCCACAGTTGTTTATTCTGGCTCTTTACGCACAACTTTTTACGCTCAGCTCACCGCTTCTCCCCACTTACTGCCTACTGTTTGTTTTATTTTATGGCGTCTAAAGTAAACATGATAGAGGGAGTGCTTCTTTATTTTAGGGCACGTGTCTGTCTCGGTAGTTTAACTCGACATATAAATCAGACATCTCGGTGCATACATAAGTAATAAGAGAGCCCTCTGGCCTTTGTGCACAATGGCCACGTCTGCCCCAGCGTGGGGATCCCTGTCCTTTTTTTGTTTGAAAGGCAAATTGACCTCTTAACTGTGACACAGGACTGGACAATCTGGTCCACCGCGACACGCGCACTGAGTGGAATCAGTGCTCCAGACAAAGAAGAGCATCGCCCTGAAACGCAAAATCTTGGACTTTCCCCGCCACCCAATTTGAGGATATTGAATGAATAAATAAAGTTATGCTATTTCAGTGTTGACAAACAAGCACTCACACAGCCTATAGACTACACTTTTATATTTAGTGTTAGAAGTACAAAGTTTGTGTTTGTTTGAATAACTCTTTCTTTGGTTTGGTTTGGTTTGGTTTGAAGTAGTCTATCTCGTTTTTCTTTAGTTTCATTTCTGTACACAACCATTTTTAGTCGTCTGATTTTGGGTGAAAGTGTAATGTATAGGCTGCACTGTGCCTCTTTGCAGAGGGTGCATTCTCCTTTCAGCCGCAGACCAGGGAGGAATTAATCTCCATCGTCGTACATTGTTCCTCTCATTTGCATAAAGCTGCAGTATGACCAAGTCAAATAATTACACAATCGGAGCTGAGCCGCAGGCCTGCCCCTCTTTTGAATAGGCCTCTGTGTTTCGGTGCCTCCTCACCTGCCGGCAGCACACCGTTATTTAGTCTACACACTGAGTAGGCCGGATTGGACTATTTCAAGGGTTTGATGTCTTGTTTGTGGAACTTATTTTTTGTTACAAGTTTGATTTCAAACTAGTTTATGTTTTAAATTTCAGGCTGAAGCACTGAAAGCATCCTCCTTAGCTCGGCCAAAGAAAGTCCGCTAAATGCAGTTGTTTGGTTGTTTTGCGTCGTGTTCACTCACTGCGCCGTGGTTTGTTGAACCTTTAAGCTTTGATGGCATTTTAACGAGTTCCTCTTTTCTCCGTCGTGGACGCGTGGGTCGGTATCCTGAATGTGGATGTGGCTGCGCATGCGTGTGTTTGCTCAGTGGCGCGTGCTGCCCTGTGCTGATGGGAAGCATAGGCGCCTCATTAACATACAGCTGCAAGTTCCCCTCTGCAGCCTCCAACATGTAGGCAATGTCCCGTATAGGATTTCAGATGTTGTCCCCATTCCACCTTGTTCTTTACACCGCATTGTCATTTTACTGCGGGAGTATTTGAGTACATAGACATTTTTTTATAATCAGGATTACAATAAGTTTACCTACATAAATATTTTCAACAGATTTGACGCTATTACTGTGCTCTATGTAAAATACACAGTAACAAAACATTTCTTTAATCTGTTTGGATCAACTTCCGGGATGGAATATTCAGATTTTTTATTTTTATTTTTTTGAGTGGGGTTTTAATATGCCCAAAGCATCCCATACTGAGATTTTTCCAATCTCTTCGAGTCAAATATTAACCATGTTACCAGGGGGACGTGTGGAGCAGTTAGTCATTATGCAGTGATTAGACGACCTCTGTCCCGGCTGTAGACACGCAGCACCTCCTATAAAACTTCCAAATGACTGATTGGCTCCATGTGCTTTCACAACTAACGCTAATTTTAAAGAGGAATACGACATGACTGTAATTGGTGTTCACTACAGGTCCACCTTGAATGCACTGTCAATCAATTATTGTAATGGATTAGCCGAGGTCCTATTTTGGCAGGTTGTAATCTGATAGAGGGTTCTTTCAGCACCATGGAGAGAGCCAGCAAGGGACCCAGATTTAATCAGCCTGGCCGTGGACGCAGCACACACGGGACTTCAGCCTTTGTCCTGGGGTGAGCACACACCAGTAAGAGAACAATGTCAGACACGACAAAAGTAACACCATGTAATCAAGGCATTTTGTTTAACGTTCAATGGAGTAATGATGAAATACACATACACGCAAATATGTAAACTGTTTTATGAAATTTTATGACACGCCCACAAAAATACACATTGTATTACTTTTGTTTAACAGTGTGCTTTACTAGACACTATCGTTGTCACATATACATTTCTGCTTACTAAATCTCGGTATGATATTATCACTATATACATCTCACGTTACGATATTTATTGTGATATTTTGGAGAGGCTGATATAATTATAGATACAACACTCTTTTTTTGGTGTGAATTATTTCCGTCATAGTCCAGAGAATTCAAGTAAAAAACACATTTCTTCATGTTGTTTAGACTGAAATGAATTATGGGATATGTAGTTTCCGATGTTTATAAGCTGTTGCTACTATAAAACCATGCATTTAAGCAAAGGAACTTGTGATTCGATATATTGTGAGACTTTGATGATACGATATCACAATGTTTTGGTTATTGTTACATTTCTAAACTTCAGTGTCGACTACTTCAGTTGATCTTGTTTTGTTATTTATGTATTTTCAGTGTTCTTGGATCAAATTTGGGTAAAAAAAAACAACAACACAAAAACCACCACCCACACACATGTATATATATAACCATATCAGATTTTAATGTAGAGACAGTATTTAGCCTAAATCTGCACATAAAAGCAGCTGCGTAGAAGAGAGGGGGCTCAGACTGCCACGTGGTTAAAATAGCTGTTTGGCCCTGATCATGATGTCTAGACTTTAAAGTGTACTTTTAAGAGTGCATTTGTCCAGGGGAGTGGGAGTAACTCTGGGATGGGACTAATAGAGGTTAGCATCAGACGGCCCTGATTGTCAGTTTAATGTCCCCCTGAGGACAATAGCGGCTGAGCTTGGTATTTTGGAATGAAATGTGCGCTCATCAAATATATTTTTCATAAAGTTAAAGTTTTAATAGTGGAAGTTTTAAATTAAATTAAGAAAATACAGAAAAAGAAGCACAAGAAACAAGACATTTAAACATTACAGAAGTTGAAACTTTTTTTTTTATTGGGTCAATTTGCAGCACTACAAAACAAAAACAACAGACCACAACTACATGGATCATGACACAAAGGGTCCAAGCTAAAGCAAAAGTACCAAACCCTATTAAACTTAAACAATAACAGAATTCCAAGAAAGAAAAGATAGAAAGATAGCAGCGCATGAACAACAAGTTTGCATTTACAACTGTACATATAAGAGACAAAATATGAATGAAAACAAACAAAATTTAAGGCATAATTCATTCATTGCACAGCTTTCAAAACATAACAAAACATAAATGAAGATAAGAACTAAGAAAAAAAAGTGATTGTATTTCTCTTAGAGGGGTTAGTTTATGAAACAACCTGAGTGATGAGTATAAATCATTATGTTTTTTTACAAGTTGAAACTTTTTAATATTTCTCCCCAAAGTTTTATTTAACAATTGATTTGCATGATATGGCATTTGCATACAAGCTGTTGTCACACATTTTACAAAGACAGTGCATTCGCATGAGCTGACTGAGGATCGATTTGAAAAAACATGATGAGAATAATCACATTTCCATTTGTATATCCACCTTGTCCTTTTTCCTCCTTATGTCATAGGTCTATAAACAGATCAGTGGCTTCAAAGGCACATTACATCTAAATGCCTTCTTTGGTGATCTATGGTGCTTCTGTATTCCAGTGCCTTTGGTCCCTGGGGCACGGTTAGCTCTAATTTACTCATCAAAAACATCAGAGCATCTCTTCGTCATCTCTGCAGTCCGTTGGTTGTTTTTGGGGCGGGGTCCTCTGTGAGAAAGCATGCCCTGGAATGTTAAACACTCATTCACCTCTGGGGGCTGCCGAGGTGGATAAAGTGATTGTTCTATCTAAAGGCTGATTAAAACGGCTGTGGTCTGTCTCTTCCCCCTCCTGCGCTCACCTCTGACGTCCATCACATTCATTTCTGTATTCATGAGCACGTATCCGGCAGGGGGAAAAGCAGGAGCGGATGCCGTATTACTGTTAATAAGAGCAGCGGGCTACCACATTGGCCGCTACAGGTTTCCCCCACTGGTCCTGCTCATTCAATTACTTGACGAGAGTTCTCCGAGGCACAGCTGCACTATGGGGGTGAAGAGCGGTAAATTGAGGTACATTCATTCATTCTCATAGACACACATGCACACAGCCTGAGATACAAATGGAACAGGCAAGTACAGTATACAGACAAGATAGTACACAGGCTGGGCTGCCATTTAGTGCAACAACATTTTAAGCAACAGACATAACAACTCTGCATTATCACAAATGATTAGAACTAAAGGTTAGCCTAATATATTCTGAAAGTGTAT